TGACTACAGTTAAACTAGCGGTCTTCCAGCACCATGACTACTAGTTAAACAGCCGGTCTCTCCAGCACCCTGATATATTAAACTAGCGGGCTCTCGCACCATGATATGTTTAAAAATACCGGTCTCTCCACACCATGACTACTATTAAATAGCCCGGGCCCCGGCACCTGACTACTAGTTAAACTAGCCCCGGGCTCTCCAGCACCAGACTAAGTTAAACTAGCCGGTCTTCCGGGACCTGACTACTAGTTAAACTAGCCCGGGTTTTTCCAGCACCATGACACTGTTTTAAAATGCCGGTCTCTCCGGCCCCATGATACAGTTAAAAATAGCCCCTCTCTCCGCACCAGCTACAGTTAAATACGGTCTTCCGCACCCGATACTAGTTTAAAAAGCCCGGGTTTCAGCACCATGACTATAGTTAAACTAGCCCGGGCTTCCGCACCTGACTACTAGTTAAACTAGCGGTCTTCCCGCCCATGACTACTAGTTAAAATAGCCGGTCTCTCCAGCCCATGCTATAGTTAAATAGCCGGTCTCTCCAGACCATGACTATAGTTAAATAGCCCGGGCTTCCGGGACCATGACTATAGTTTTAAAAGCCCGGGCCCCCAGCACCTGACTACTATTAAACTAGCCGGGCTCTCCGGCACCCCTGGGACAAATAGTTAAATAGCCGGTTTCCCACCCTGATACTGTTTAAACTAGCCGGGCTCCCGGCACCATACTACTAGTTAAATAGCCGGTTTCCAGCACCCCTGATACTAGTTAAACTAGCCGGTCTCTCCGGGACCTGACTATAGTTAAACAGCCGGTCTCTCCCGCACCATGACTCTAGTTAAATAGCCCGGGCTTCCGGGGACCCTGACTATAGTTTTAAATACCGGTCTCTCCAGCACCATGACTACTAGTTAAACTAGCCGGTCTCTCCGGCACCATGACTACTAGTTAAACTAGCCGGTCTCTCCAGCACCATGACTACTAGTTAAACTAGCCGGTCTCTCCAGACCATGACACTGTTAAACAGCCAGTCTCCCAGCACCATACTACTAGTTAAACTAGCCGGTCTCTCCAGCACCATGACTACTAGTTAAACTAGCCGGTCTCTCCAGCACCATGACTACTAGTTAAACTAGCCGGTCTCTCCAGCACCATGACTACTAGTTAAACTAGCCGGTCTCTCCGGCACCATGACTACTAGTTAAATAGCGGTCTTCCGGCCCTGACTTCTAGTTTAAAAATAGCCGGTCTCTCCAGCACCATGACTACTAGTTAAACTAGCCGGTCTCTCCGGCACCATGACTACTAGTTAAACTAGCCGGTCTCTCCAGCACCATGACTACTAGTTAAACTAGCCGGTCTCTCCAGGCACCATGACACTATTAAATAGCCGCTCTCCCGCACCATGACTACAGTTAAACTAGCCGGCCTTCGGCCCATGACTCTAGTTAAATAGCGGGCTCTCCAGCACCATGACTACTAGTTAAACTAGCGGTCTCTCCGGCCCATGAAAAACTAGTTAAACTAGCCGGGCTCTCCCACCAGACTACTAGTTAAACTAGCCGGGCTCTCCCGGGCCCCTGACTATAGTTAAACTAGCCGGTCTCTCCAGCACCATGACTATTAGTTAAACTAGCCGGTCTCTCCAGCACCATGACTACTAGTTAAACTAGCCGGTCTCTCCGGCACCTGCTTTTTAAAACTACCCGGTCTCTCCAGCCCCAGACTCTATTAAACTAGCCGGTCTCTCCGCCCCATGATACAGTAAACTACCGGTCTCTCCGGCACCATGACTACATTAAACTAGCCGGTCTCTCCGGCCCATGACTACTATTAAACTAGCCGGTCTCTCCGCACCAGGCTACTATTTAAAACAGCCGGTTTTCCCCGGCACCAGACTACTAGTTAAACTCCCGGTTCCCCGGGCACCAGACTACTAGTTAAACTCCCGGTCTCTCCAGCACCATGACTACTATTTAAATAGCGGTCTCCCCGGCCCAAACTATATTTAAAAACTACCCGGTTCTCCGCACATGACTCTGTTAACTCCCGGGTCTCCCAGCCCCATGATACTAGTTAAACTACCCGGTCTCTCCAGCACCATGACTACTAGTTAAACTACCCGGTCTCTCCAACCATACACTTTTAAAAAACTGCCGGTCCTCCAGCCCTGATATAGTTAAACTACCCGGGTTCTCCAGCACCATGACTACTATTTAAAACTACCCGGTCTCCCCGGGCACCTGACTCTATTTAAAACTACCCGTCTCCCCGCCCCATGATCTAGTTAAACTACCCCCCGGTTCTCCGGCACCATGATTAGTTAAAACTACCGGTTCCCCAGCCCCATGTATATTAAACTGCCGGTTCTCCAGCCCCGCTACTTTTAAAAAATACCCGGTCTTCCCCAGCACCTGACACTAGTTAAACTACCCGGTCTCTCCAGCACATGACTACTAGTTAAATACCCGGGTCTCCCCGCCCATGACTCTATTTAAACTACCGGTCTCCCCAGCACCATGACACTATTTAAAAAACCCGGTCTCTCCAGCACCTGAATATTTAAAACTAGCCGGTCTCTCCAGCACCATGACTACTATTTAAACAACACAATATTACAAAAAAGCTGCCCACTCACCCCTCCACTACACCCCCCACTAACCCCTCCACTACACCCCCCATACAACACCCTCCACAACACTCCTCCACAAACCCCTCCCAACACTCCCCCACAACACCCCCCCACAACACCCCTCCAAAAACCCCCCTCCCAACCCCCCCTCCCAACCCCCTCCACTACAAACTCCTCCACAACATTTCCTCCCAACACCCTCCACAACACCCTCCACAAACCCCCCTCCCAACCCCCCTCCACAACACCCCCCCAAACACTCCTCCAAAACACCCCTCCACAACACCCCCCCACTACACCCCTCCACTACACCCCTCCACTCAACACTCCTCCCCAACACTCTCCCAACACCCCTCCACAACACTCCTCCACAACACCCCTCCAAAACACCCTCCAAAACACCCCCCCACACCCCCCTCCAAACACCCCTCCACAACACCCCTCCAAAACACCCCTCCACAACACCCCTCCACAACCCCCCCCACAACACTTCTCCACAACACCCTCCACAACACCCTCCACAAAACCCCTCCAAAACACTTTCCACTCCCCCCTCCAAAAACCCCTCCACAAACTCCCCCACTACCCCCTTTTACATCCAAGCTCTATCTCCTGTTGTTATAAAAATGTTTGGGGGAGACGAACATTCACGGGCCCAAAGGGTTTTTTGGAAAGGGGGATGGAATAGGGGAGTGAAAGGGGAAAAACTAAAAAAAGGGTTAGAGGAACGAAAAGAGGGAAACAAGCAAAGGGAAGGGAAAAAGGGCAGACTCGAATAAATTTCCACTGACAACCCAAAAATTAACCGAAACAAAAAAAAGGCGTATTTTTGCGTGAGGAGAGGGGGAGGAGAAAGAGAAAAATGAAAAGGCAGATAGCAGGAAATCCCCGATCAATATCGAGATATTTTTTGAGGGGAAACTGTGTCAATACAGTGTTTAAAACGAGAGAGAGGGGAGGAGAGGGGAGAGAGGGAAGAGAAGAGAGAGGGGAGAAAGAAGAGAGAGAGGGGAACTTCTACCCCTAACACAGAAACAAGTCTTCCCACAACCAGAAAAAAGGTTCTTAATTACATTAAGCCCGGGGTTCGTACAGTCTTTGAGCTGTCACGACCATGAATCAAAGTCAGCATATTTATGCTGCAGCACTTGGCAGGGATGAGGGTGTCGCATGATATTGATGGGTGGTTGTGTGTGTTGTGTGTGTGTGTGTGTGTGTTGTGTGTGGTTATGGCTCACCACACCTCAGCAGCAAATGCACTTTTCAACCCCCCGTAGCGCTGCAAAAGCTCTGCCTCAAACAAAACAAACATTTCTTTTTTTTCTATACCCGCTGGGCAAATGCCCCGGATCCCGGTAATTGGAGACGTTCCCTGCCTCGGATTAAACCCCTTATCTTTTCCCACCCAAGGGTTTATGATGGCGGATTTAACACATCCACTATATATTTTTTTTTTTTATTTCAACCGGCCGATTCCCCCCAAGGCAGGGTGGCCCCAAAAGAAAAAATTTCACCAATTCACTCCATCACTTTCTTGCCAGAAGGGGGCTTTACATACTTTTAAATGCAACATTAAAAAAAAACCCCCCCTTCAGAGTGCAGGCACTGTACTTTCCCCTCTCCAGGGCTCAAGTCCCGGGCCCGCCGGTTT